CAATAATGGCAATACATAAGAGAGGAGGAGGTTGTAAATTGCAGCACAGATATAGTAGTATTTGGAAGGTGGTACATGTAAGATAAAGTAGCCAAGATCAGTAGGGCCAGATGAGACTTTTCTGTTATAACAGAATGAAAAAATAATACAACTCAGTGAGTAAGAGATAACCAACCAAAAGAACTATATGATACTTATGGCTGAGCGACTAATTAAAAATGACCACTATAAACAAGTAGCTTAATGAACAAATGAATAAAGAGTGTAAACATTTTTTAGCATCAAAGGCAATAAAGGATAAAGAAAAATACCATGAAAATGAGAGAAAGATGACAATAAATATAATCTCGCTAATATAAGATCTCTCCTTCCAAGCTCCTATACCCAAAAAAGGGGAAAGCATGTGAAAACAATAAGGTATTAACACATAAATTCTCATACTTTATGAGATAAGCTTAATCACATGGATCTAGGAGTGTCCATTTGGCCTGCCGGCCCGGGCCCGGCCCGGTGCTCGTCCCGGCTGTTACGAAAACAATAAGGGATTAACTCATAAATTCTCATACTTTATACAATAAGGGATTAACTCATAAATTCTCATACTTTATGAGATAAGTTTAATCACATGGATCCATCAATTAGTCTGCAAATATCAAGTAGTATTTACATCAAATTAAATGCTCATATGCATCTGTATTAATGGCTTGATAGCAAATCCACCAGTAAAGTTAAATGGAAATAAAATCAAATATAGAAAGTGTAATAAAAACTCTCAATCTTTTACAAAAAAAATTGAAATCATATCTTTACTATGGATCTCCATTCCAAGTTAAACAATATAAAGGATGAGAAAACAGATGAATTTTAACAATATAGATAATGCAAATAAAATTTGTGACGATATTTTCCTTGTGCAATCATATCTTTACTAATAGATTGTGCTTAAATTCAAATTCATAACATTATCTTTCAACATTCCTACCTATTGATATCAACCATAAACAACATGAAGCTATATCTAAAAATTTTGCATCTTAGTATTACCATGCTTATTAAGTAAAGACACAGAGTTAAATATGAAACGTGAAAACCAAAAAAATAAAAATAAAACATATGTGAACAATTTTAGGTACACCTAAGCCTTCATCAAGTCACAATTTTCCTGCAGTTTGTTTCTTCTTGTCCTTGGTCTCTAAAAGCCTCAATTATTCTATAGAAAGAAAGAAAGATTTTAAACAATGTAAAAACAAAAATCACCTACATTTTTCTAAAGGAACTCTCCTTGAATTTCATAAAAAAGACCACATTGATTTATGTTCATAATCAATCTCAAAATGCTAAGATGTCATAAAACATTACAACATCATAAATGATTAGATAGATCAAAATTTACAGTTATTCAAAAGGTTTGAGCTTGTTCAATTATCAAGAATATAACATTCGACATAATCCACACTGATAATCAAAGAATCTAACCCTAAATTATAGGTAGATTCCTATATAATGACAAAGAAAGCCACTGGTTGCTTACGATTTAATTGCTAGGGTTTTTGGATTATGAAACCGAGGGTTAGGGTTTTCAGATTGCTCACCTCTGTTGGGGAGTTCATTGGTTTGCTTTGAAATTAGTAAAATAGGTTAGGGGTAATATTACCCCCACACACCCACTATTTTCAAAACCAATCTTCTTCATCTCCGTCTATGATATAGTCACATATATAAATTAAGCTGCTAGAGTTTCCCCCTCACCAACTATACCATTAATCAACCATCTTTTTTTTTTTTTTTTGTACTTAATTGTATAACATTCATTGTGATGAGGACTCATCAGGGTCCATTGCCCACCTTGAATGCTCAATAAAAGAAATAATATACTAGGCCTTATAGTTAGTTAATAATGAGATCTTGTCATTATAAATAAATTAAACAAATATTAATAATTCTCAAGAAGGGTGGGATGACGGAATGAACCAAGAACAAATTTATTTACTCTGAGAGGTCATAGATTGATCCCACAAATAAAGTAGGAAAGAGTCAATATCCGTCTGCTAAACCCTTTCATTCTTTTATTGGATTACAGTCTTGATTCGATAAGAGTAAAAATAAGAATTTTTTTTTCTAAAATAGAAGCATTATCTATAAATATACTACACTCCCCTAGCTTCCACTACAAGCTTGTTGGTTATTTATTTCTAGCCCCAAGATATTTTCAAAATTAATTTTGAGGGTTGCTTGCATTAAAAAAAAGCTATGTTAGAGGGCTCATACAATCTGTTTTATAGTTTAAGATTGTCAACACATTTTATCTATGATGCATATCAATTATGAGTAATAATATAATTTGATTGATTTAAGTATATCCTAATATATTTTTAGACTCATGCCTTGTCTTTTGCTCTTTATTATATACTAACCTAATATCACAATTGATGTAGGGGATGAAGTAGCTACTATAAAATTGCCCAGGAAAAATATAAAGATAGAGAAGGGTTGATATCAGCTTAATTAAATATGAAAAAAGAAGGAATAAAGGATAATATTTTTCTGAATACTTTATTGTAAAACTTAATTTTTTGAGTTAAATTAGAAATCTTTAGAAGGGATATTCATACAAATTTTTTAATATGCTTATGTGAATGATTTTGTCATAAACAATTATACTAGAGTCATCATTAATCATTAGTATTTTTTTAAGTCCATTAATAATTAAGATGTCTTGCAGTCTTGTGAAAAATATGTGCTTTATGTTGAGCTTATATAAACCATCTTAATATTAAGTATTTGGTTATATTTTTATTAACACATCAACAATATATTATTATATTTTTTAAAATTAATACTACATTTAATGACTAAGATAAACAAATAGGTAATCGATGATTTGATCCGATAAACAAATATGTTACATAAAGTTTGATATAACAAAAATTAAAAATAATATTATGTATACAAGTATATAAAAGTATATTGATCCCAGTTTTACACACAAATCTATTTCCTAATTTTTTAAAAATATTTAAATAAAAATTATGGCAAATATAGTAATCCATGTTTGCAAATTATAACTCAAAATGAATCTGACTTATTTTATAGTAAGAAAAATAAATAAAAAGTAAATAATTTTGACATTTAACCATGTGTATTACACGTGCACAAGAACTAGTATACATATGAAGTATGATAATAAAAAAAACACTTTTAACCAAACACACCCTAAAATAAAGTTCATTATACATAATTCTAGTTATGAAGTTTCTTCAAGGTAGGAAGCCGGTTGCGCATTTAATAATAATTAAATATGACTTTATTTCACACAGCAACATGCAGTCAGGATGGCCGAGTGGTCTAAGGCGCCAGACTCAAGTTCTGGTCTTCGTGAGAGGGCGTGGGTTCAAATCCCACTTCTGACATTTCTTTTTCAAAAATTTCCCCTATTTAGGTAGTTTCTCTATTTGTTTTGGATTAATTGCACTTAAATATCTTATAGTTTCCCCTACTCTACATTTATATACCATCATTTGTTTTTGGTAACACTTAAAATTTTAAAATTTGCAATTTAGTACCCTCTATAATGCAAACGTGAGAATATTTCCTCAAAAGCTTTCACGTGACAAATGCATGCTAATTTTAAAGCTTTTTTACCCTTAATTTTGGTTAAAGTTATTAGTCTTAAAACTACAGTAATTCCATTTAAACCTACCATAATTCTATTTACAATAGAATCTTATAGGTTTAATTAATAAATATCAGAAGTTAAAATTTTGTAGAACTAGTATATGGGAATATCAACGAAAACTTTCAGAGGAAACCACGACTGCATGAGCAAAAAGTATTACAATGCAAATTTGAAAGAAAAATACTAGAGGTACACCCTTAAACCACATCACCAACCACACTCCTCTCTCACTGCACTCGGACCCACATGAGAATTTAAAAAAAAAAATTATGTGGGTCCTAGTGCACTGTACTGAGAAAGGAGTGTGTCTGGGAGTGTGACCGTAGGGCCTCTCAATTTGAAAAGCTCTAGGGTATATACATGTGCAGCCAAAAACAATTAGACTATCTCCATCAGGAGTCGAAATTTTAACCTTCTCTCTCCTGCCACATCACTTTATTCCCCCTCCACATAATTCAACAATCTCTATTTTCTATCATCTCTACAGCAGGAGTTTTTTCAAAAGATTTTTACTTTATTTGGGACCCACTATAACCCCATCACTCCAACATATATACCCCACCTTATTTATTCATTTCTTTTTCTTATTTCATATATATTACTACTACTACTATTATTATTACTAATATAACTCATTTATTTATAATTATAATTTTTTAATATTTACATAAATAATATATATTATTAATTTATTTTTTGATAATATTTTTATATTAACAAAAAAACACACGATTTTATTAAGCATACGGAAAAGTCAAACACACACAAGTTTGAAGAATATAGAAGCAAAAGCAAAGAGAAGGAGAATAAGGTGTTGAAAACTCAGATTTTTTTTTTGTGTCCAAATTACACAAGACTAATCTCTATTTATAGAGGTGAAAAAATAAAAATTATTGATATAAAAATTATAAATTAATTCCTAGTATTTATCTCCTAAAATATCATTTAAAAATTAGGAGTAAAACAAAAAACTCCAACCAATCAAGCCTTGACACATGGCTTGATACATGAGCTCAATTTAATTTCACCCCCCCAAAAGCCGGAGATGAAATTTTCACCCATCCGAAACCGATTTTCCATTTCACCCCCCAAAAGCCCACCTGCTGGAGCAAAAAAAAACCCCAAAACCCAAATGGTGTATAGGTGCAAAGTAGCGGAAACTAGTAGGGTACTTTTAAGTGCAACTAAGGACAAATTTTCAAAACCAACCCTTTTAGAAAGTACCCGATCATTCTCTCTTCTGCTAGGGTTTAGGGTTTTACCCCAATGCCAAGAGCGAGGACCAGGCGGCAGTCCCAGCGCTCCGTC